GCAGCGCCGTCATCCTGGCTGGTGGTGCTGGTGCAGCGCCGTCATCCTGGCTGGTGGTGGCTGATGATGCATCGCTGTCAGACAAGTTTTTACATAAGCGCCAGAGTTTATGTCGCTAATTGATTAGACAGTACTTTAAACCAGGATTAATTTGTATCATCCTTGTTGGATGAGTTTGATAAGGTTGGTGTGGTGGACCTGGTGGACCTGGGGGTCCTGGGGGGAAGGTGCAGGTGCGCTGGGGAATGGGGACTATTATCTTGGAATAGGAGGGGTACAAGGAAGGAGTTCAGGTGGGGTGTTCCTGGGGGTACATGCATGAGAGGGGTTGCAGTAGTGACGGAGGTGTTTACAGCGTGTTTTTACCTATATCTGGTTGTGGGTTTCGAGTCTCAGCTCCTGGCCTCGCTTATCACTAGCCACTAGATGGTTCACTCTTCTAGCTTCAAAGGCTTTTATCATACCTCTTTTTAAAACTATGTACAAATCCTGTCTCCACTACTACACTGTCCAGGTCATTTCACTTCCTGAACACTACATGGCTGAAGAAATACTTCCTAATATACCTGTGGCTCATCTATATTTTTAACTTACAGCTGTGCCTTCTACTGTCTAAGACCTACCTCTCAGATTCTCTCTGTCCACCCAATCAATTCCTTTCGGTATTTTGTACGTCGTAATCATGTTACTCCTAGTCCTGTTCTCTAATATCAGGTTTAGCTCCTCTACAATCTCCTCTTATGCCATCCCCCTTAGCTTAGGGACTAGTCTCGTTGTAATCCTTTGCACTTTTTTTCTAGCTTAATATCAGATATGGGCTCCATACTATTACTGTATACTCAAAGATGGTTGTCATATACTCCGTGTATTGGGTCGTGAATGCCTCCTTGCAGATATTCATGAAACTTGCCCTTAGCGGTTATTAGGTTGATGTGTGCCTCAGGTGAAATGCTGAGAACTATGCTCACCCCGAGTCCATTCTCTTTCAGGAAGTTTTGCAGCCTTTGTTCCCCGAGCCTATTCTGGTTTTGGTCGTCTTTGCCCTTCCCCAGTTTTCGTAACTTTGAATTTGCCAGACCAATCCTGCTGGTTGTCCAGATCCATATGTAGTCTTTAATGGTCAGCTTGTGTGCGTGTGTTCTCATTAGTTTTAGGTCATTGCAAAGAGGGACGCCTCTCATTTGATTTCTTCTCTCATGTCTTTTACTTGCACAAAACAAGAAAAGTACTGGACTAAGTACTGACCGTACTGCAATCCAACTTGTCACACACTCCCCTTCCGACACCTCCTCCTGGACAATAACTCGTTATTTCCTTCTTGTTAATTATTCCTTGATCCACTGTAGTTCTTTCCCAGTTATCCCTGCCTGCTCCTCTAGCTTGTATCTTAATTTCATACGAGGCACTGTACCGAACGCTGCTTTAGTTTAGATGTTGCCAGCGAAGTGGCTAGTTTATTGTGCAGCCCATAGCCATCCCGTGGACGGCAGCATATGGATACACAAAAGGCCTAGTAGTTAGATCCCAAAATGGATTTGTATCTTAGGCATCGTCGTATCTTCATCTAAAACAAAGATATTGACAAGTAAACGACACCCCCTTACCCGTCTCTTTTGTAGTATGAAAACGTCAGCTACGTTAAATCTTGAGTGAATATTAAAATGGTACACATTACCGACAGGTTGGTAGGTAAGACGCTTATGCAACAGTTAAGCATCTTTATTTCGAAACGTTTCGCATACACAGTAGGCTTCTTTAATCGAATACAGAAAGGTTGACAGGAGCATTAGAGATGTGAAGACGATGTAATCAGTCCATCACCCTTGAAGACGTAGTTTTGAAGTAGTCAGTCCCTCAGCCTGGAGAAGAGTTGTTCCATAGTCTGAAACAATGTTAAATCTTAGACATTCAGTCGGCTTCAGATTGTGAATGCTTATTCACGGTAATGAGCACCAGATTGTATAAGCAGTTGGCATGTGTTCATGCCCTATGACCAAAGCTATTTAACCCATTCCCAGCATCTTCGAATGGCTCGGATAACCTCCAAAACTCTCAGGGGTGCAGCTTCAAGCGCTCAAAAAATGTGCCTCTTAATTTGACGAAGTGGAGAGTGAAATTCGAGTAGGTACAGATTTGTTCATCTTACGAGGAAAATTTCCAACTTAATCATGATCAAGATATATGCATATCTTTAAACCATCACATCATATCTTGTCAGACACAGCAACATCTTGGGATCTTGATACAGGGAATTCTTCAACTCTTGTCTACCCTATAGGCCTGACCTACTTAACACTAGTGGATTTTTCCACTGGCTGCCTCCGCCTACTACTGTTGCACCTCACCTGTCTGCAGTATGCGTATAAGGCACTTCTCCGCGCATATGATGTCGTCACTGTAGCTCCTACTCTCGACATCACAGTCTCCCTACGATTCCCGTTGAGGAGGGAAACCTCTGCCTGTTCGACGATGTTCGCACATTGTGTTAAAATCAAACCAGCCAGCGGTGTTATAAATGATTCCACTAAACTATCACTTGCTGCCGCTATAAGAACCTGCCTACATTTTAAATTCACAGCGATCCACTCACTCAAGGACTCCTTTATTATCGTCTGCGCCGACGACAATGAAGCGGCTAAACTTATGGACGACACTGCAATGAATACATTGCGAGACCGACAATTCAACATATCACCGTCTGTTAGGTAAGACATATGCAACAGTTTTCTGTACTCGACTGAAGAAGCCTACTGTGTAGGCGAAACGTTTCGAAATAAAGATACCTAACTGTTGCATATGTGTCATATCACCGTCTCCCTCCTTGCTGACGAAACGTTCCGTTTTTGTTAAACAATTGGGTAAGATAATCACATCCTTACCAGCGGATGAACTGAAGACCTCTATGGAAGAACAGACACCTGGGCCTCTATAGACACCACCACACGAATTCCCAATGCCTCATCTATGATCAAAATCACCTTTTCAAACATAGATATGGCTACCCAAACGTTCTCTAATGGGCTAGCTATCTCATATTACCACATACATCCACGCCACATAGAACCTGAACGTTTCGCCCATTTCTCTCCCTGTTGGAACTGTTACTCTTATCAACACTCAACCAAGGACTGTTCCATTAAAGATAAAAAAAAGTTCTGTTCTACCTGTGGAAAAGAAGGTCATGACTTCAAAACTGCACCACCACAAATGCCACTGCAAGGGTACTCATCATACCCTTGCAGCTAAATGCCCACTACGAAAAGAAGTGATGTCGAAAAAAATTAAAGAAACCAAGAAGAATAGCCCCAAATCGCCGACATATGCCGCCATTTCAAAACTCCAGTCGGACACCACCAGAATTCTACAAGCACACAGCAATCATCTCTATCCAGCAACTCCCTGACGCTGCTCCCTCTTAAGGTGCTGTATTGCATGATGTATGCACACCTTGCAAATGCAGCAAACCCAGGCACATTCAACATTACAATTAACGAACTATTCCGTCTTAACATGCCGTCATTTAACTTTCCGGACTCGCCAACATCACAGGACTTCCTCAAGATTGTCCCAAACATCGTTAACTTCACATCGACTTCAGGCCCAAATCCTGACTCTGCCCCAAAAAACACTCCTGAACCACCCCCAATGACCACTACCACCTCTCAACAACCAGCCAGTCCGCATATACTCTAGATTCCCAGCCTCCTCTCGACACAATCACAGTAGAAACAATTGAACAAGAGTGATTAATGGTTTTGAAAACCGACAAGTTGTCGGTTTTCAAAACCATCCATCACATGGACGAAGACCTACTTCGACTAGTGGATGGTACCACTATGACCCCGCTTCCTCCTGCTTCGCCTCACCTGACTACAGTATATAAGCCACGTCTACGGCCCTATGCTGTACATTCTACAAGATTGATGGACTGAACACATCGACTCCAGGCTGAGGAACTACCTCAAACTCCTCCTCTCCTTACACCTTTCTGCTTTGTATTGGACTGATGAAGCCACTGTGTGGCGAAACGTTTCCTCAATAAAGATTCCCATATGTTGCATAAGTGTCTCAATCTTCAATTGAACAATAATTTTCTGACGAATCCGCCGACAGAGCAGATAGAGACGACTCCAGCACACCCTATTGGGAAAACCTTACTTTCTGCACCTCTCCTTCGAATGCTGACACCATGACCTGCTCTGAACTCTACAAAGGCCTCGGTGATGAAACAGTCAAGTATGCCTGCGAATCACCTCTTCACTTCACACTCACGCAAGTTCTTGACTTCATCAAGCCTCTTCGTTTCCCTTTTTCAACAAGACAACGCTATACCACCTCTCCAGGAGCAGCTTCAAGAAGTTTGCAAATGGCTCCACTGCGAACCTGCCTCCTCAACTACTAAAATAAACTCCCACATGTCTGCTGCCCTCTGATGGTCCTACCTGCCTGCCCTCTTCTGCAACCTGGAAACTTCCAGCTCTCAAGACTCAAGACCTCACCTACCACGAGACTGTTGCCTGCACAGCTTGATCTCTTCCTGTCTTTTCTGCAAGTCTCTCTCACGATCGTCTTAGCTGCTGGGTCAAGCCCTGGCTCTATTTCTACAACTACGGACACTCCTCTCCAGCACTATTCTTCGTCTGTCCCGTCTTCACCGCTCATCCCATTGGGATCTTAACTGCACTTGTTCGTTCGTTCGTTTGATCATATGATGTACTTTTCTCAAGACTGATGGACTGAACACATCGACTCCAGGCTGAAGGACTGATTACCTCAAACTCCTCCTCATCTTCCACCATTCTTCTCTGTAATGGACTGAAGAAGTCACTGACTGGCGAAAGATTCTCAAATGTTGCACAAGTGTCAGTCTTCAACATAACTGGTGATGTTTGAGGTTAACTGTTTTTTGTAGTCACCTTCTTTACTAAATTTAATATGGCTTTTGTGGAATATTTTCATCAGCCTTGTTAAACGTATAATAATATGGTCCTCCTTATTTCAGGTGAACCGGGAGACTGGGTACTGGGCACTGCTGCACCTCCACCTGAACCGGGAGACTGGGTACTGGGCACTGCTGCACCTCCACCTACTGGTGGGTAGATCGAAAGTATTTTTGTATTTCAACCAGATTTTAAGACCTCCTCAAAATTATTTAATATTCCATTTTTAAGCGTAATAAACAGTTATCAGTGAACTGATAGATCATACTCACCATCTTCAAAACAAAGGATGCCAAACCAGGGGAATTGTACTTGTCCTCTAGATTGGAGTACTGCTGTCTACCTGGAGAATATTCCGGGGATCAACGCCCCCGCGACCCGGTCCACGACCAGGCCTCCCGGTGGATCAGGGCCTGATCAACCAGGCTGTTACTGCTGGCCGCACGAAGTCCAACGTACGAACCACAGCCCGGCTGATCCGGCACTGACTTTAGGTATCTGTCCAGCTCTCTCTTGAAGGCAGCCAGGGGTTTATTGGTAATTCCCCTTATGTTTGGTGGAAGGCTGTTGAACAGTCTTGGGCCCCTGACACTTATGGTGTTTTCTCTTAGTGTACCAGTGATGCCCCTACTTTTAATTGGGGGTATTTTGCATCGCCTGCCCAGTCTTTTACTTTCGTAGGGAGTGATTTGTGTGTGCAGATTCGGGACCATTCCTTCCAAGATTTTCCAAGTGTAGATTATGATATATCTCTCCCTCCTGCGTTCCAACGAGTACAAGTCAAGTGCTTCCAAGCGTTCCCAGTAGTTAAGGTGCTTGACAGAACTTATACGTGCAGTAAAGGTTCTCTGTACACTCTCTAGATCTGCAATTTCACCTGCTCTGAACGGAGATGTTAATGTACAGCAGTATTCCAGCCTAGAGAGAACAAGTGATTTGAAAAGGATCATCATTCAAGGCCTGGCCCATGGCCGGGCTCCGAGAGTAGTGAAACTCTCGAAACTCTTCAAAGATATCAAAGGCTCGGGAAATTGCAGACGTGGAGAATATGCAGACAATCTTCACAGGTGGCACAGGTTCAATTAATCACTAAAGTTACTGGGAACATTTGACGTCCTTTTATCTGTATTCCTTGGGAAATTCTAGGATTGGTTCCTTATCTGCTCACACAAATCATTCCCCATGAAAGTAAGAGACTTGGCAGACGGTGCAAAATACCCCTAATGAAAAGCATGGGTACAGTGAGTAGAGTAAGGGAAAACTCAATGAAGTGTGAAGGAACCAAGACCTTTCAACATTCTCTCTTCATACATAAGAGGCTGACTGTCTTCAAAAGAAAACTGGACAAGTTGCGTATGTCAGTGTCTGATCAGCTGAGCTGTGGTGTCTGGTTGATCAGGTCATCCACCGGGAAGTCCAGTCTGGGACCGGGCCGCGTGAGCCTTGACCCTCGGAATACTTCAGGTAGACTCCAGGTAGGTAGGACGGAAAATAAAACAGAGTAGGAAGGAACTGTATATTTCGACCTCAGAGGCCCTCTTCAACTGGGCTTCAACTTCAACACATCTCTGAGGCTGAAATATACAGAGGATTCCTTGGTCCCAAATCTACACACTGCCATAGCAACATACTGGAGTGAGAGAGATGGGAGGAAGTGTAAAATAAACCCAGTGAGGAGCAGGAGTGCTGTGGGGACAATAAGGGAACACTGTATCAACATCCGGAGTCCCAGACTTTTCAACATCTTACCAGAAGATATCAGAAACACTGCTGGAACAAGTGTTGAAGCCTTCAAGAGGAAACTAGACAAGTATCTTCACCAGGTGCCAGATCAACCAGGCTGTGATGGCTATGTGGGGCAGCGGGCCTCCAGCAGCAACAGCCTGGTGATCAGGCGAGCACCAGACGAGCCTGGCCCATGGCCGGACTCAGAGAGTAGATATACTCTCGAAATTCTTCAAAGGTAAGGTAAGGTATTCTGTCTTTTAGGGATTTACCTGTTTGTCATTTAATTTTTGTTTGTGTTAGAGTACTGAGTTTTGAATTGATAAGTTCCTCAAGTCCTAGTCAGCCGGGCTGTAGTACATGTGTTGGATTTACCTGGTTGATCAGACTATCCACCGGGTGGCCTGCTCAGGGTCCGGGACTCGCGGCCCTTGACCCTTGGAAAACACTCCAGGTTTAACTCCAGGTAGGAAGGAAGGCAAAAAAGTAGGTAGGTAGGTAGTGTTCAATAAGTTTACCTGAACTCGCACATTGGTAGTCAGCCTTGTGTAATTATTCTGTTTCCGACCAACGAGCTCCTGCCTCTATTCGTTCATGGCTTCTCAGTGTTTTCTGTCCTAGCTACAGTTGAAACTGGATGGAGTTTTTGTCCTCCAGTACCTCCGTAGGGATTGTGATGTAGACCTGGTGTGGGGGAGGAGGTAGAGAATGATGAAGTAGGCCTGGTGTTATCATGGGCTCAGGTTAGGCCTGGCCATAATTATTACCGCCTCTCCAAACGTGTATATCACTAATCTAGTGCTCTCTCTTTCTCTCTCTCTTCTCTCTTTCTTTCTCTCTCTCTCTCTCTCTTTCTTTCTCTCTCTCTCTCTCTCTCTCTCTCTTTCTTCTCTCTCTCTCTCTCTCTCTCTCTCTCTCTCTCTCTCTCTCTCTTCTCTCTCTCTCTCTCTCTTCTCTTTCTCTTTCTCTCATATCTCATCTCTTCTCTTAAAAGATGTATCAGAGGTAAAGGTATGGCCCAGTTAATCTGGAACTTGTGACCTTGTTAACTTCCGTATTGGAGACACAAGAGTCCTGGTAATAAGTGCATGAAAGTAGAGCCCTGCAGTAGGCCTACTGGCTCTTGCTTGGTCAGTTCTCACGCCCCAACCAGTCTCTCTCTCTCTCTCTCTCTCTCTCTCTCTCTCTCTCTCTCTCTCTCTCTCACTTAACTAGCTTTAAAAGTTAGAAAATTATTAGCTTAATGATCTTGCTAGTCAGCTCATTCCACGCGTGTAATGACGACACTTGTCTAGTACACTAGAAAGTGGTCCATTACCGGGATCTTTGTGAGTAGTAAATAAGTATTCACTGGAGTGGAAGAGACATACCTAGAAAGTACTTGAGGGCTGGTCCCAAACCTGCACACTGCCATAATATCATACTGGAGGGACAGATATGGAAGTGCTAAATAAACCCAGTGAAAATCAGAGGTTACCTGGAGGTTATGTTGAATTAGACACATGTGCAACTCTTGGGTATGTGATGAATGGTTTGAAAAACCGACAAGTTGAAGATTAAGACACTTATGCAGCATATGGGAATCTTTATTCAGGAAACGTTTCGCCACACAGTGGCGAAACTGTCAGACACTGCAGCATCATGGGATCTTGTTACAAAGAATTCTTCAACACTTGTTCAACCTTTGGACGAAGACCTACTTCGACTAGTGGATGGTACCACTATGACCCCGCCTCCGCCTGCTTCACTTCACCTCACTACAGTATATAAGCCACGTCTACGGCTCTATGCTGTACATTCTACAAGATTGATGGACTGAACACATCAACTCCAGGTTGAGGGACTGATTACCTCATTCTCCTCCTCTCCTTACGCCTTCTTTGTATTGGACTGATGAAGCCATTGTGTGGCGAAACGTTTCCTGAATAAAGATTCCCATATGCTGCATAAGTGTCTTAATCTTCAACTCTTGGGTATCTTTATTGAGGAAACGTTTCGCCACACAGTGGCTTCATCAGTCCATACAAAGGAGAAACTTGAAGAACAGGAGGAGAATGAGGTAATCAGTCTCTCAGCCTAGAGTCGATGTGGTCAGTCCATCAATCTAGAATAGATTGTCTCCATTCTATTCAAGATTGATGGACTGACCACATCGACTCTAGGCTGAGGGACTGATTACCTCATTCTCCTCCTGTTCTTCAAGTTTCTCCTTTGTATGGACTGATGAAGCCACTGTGTGGCGAAACGTTTCCTCAATAAAGATACCAAAGAGTTGCACATGTGTCTAATTCAACAACATGTCGGTTCTCTGAACCATTCATCTACAAACCTGGAGGTTATTCCGGGGATCAACGCCCCCGCGGCCCGGTCCATGACCAGGCCTCCCAATGGATCAGGGCCTGATCAACTAGGCTGTTACTGCTGGCCGCACGCAGTCCAACGTACGAGCCACAGCCCGGCTTGAACCGGCACAGACTTTAGGTATCTGTCCAGCTCTCTCTTGAAGGCAGCCAGGGGTTTATTGGCAATTCCCCTAATGCTTGATGGGAGGCTGTTGAACAGTCTTGGGCCCCGGACACTTATGGTGTTTCCCCTTAGTGTACCAATGGCGCCCCTACTTTTTATTGGGGGCATTTTGCACCGCCTGCCCAGTCTTTTACTTTCGTAGGGAGTGATTTCTGTGTGCAGATTTGGGACCATTCCTTCCAAGATTTTTCCAAGTGTAGATTATGATATATATCTCCCTCCTGCGTTCCAACGAGTACAAGTCAAGTGCTTCCAAGCGTTCCCAGTAGTTAAGGTGCTTGACAGAACTTATACGTGCAGTAAAGGTTCTCTGTACACTCTCTAGATCTGCGATTTCACCTGCTTTGAATGGAGATGTTAATGTACAGCAGTATTCCAGCCTAGAGAGAAGTGATTTGAAAAGGATCATCATTGGCTTGGCATCTCTCGTTTTGAACGTTCTCATTATCCATCCTATCATTTTCTTTGCACGTGCGATTGTGGCACTGTTGTGATCCTTGAAGGTGAGATCCTCAGACATTACTACTCCCCGGTCCCTTACATTATTTTTCCACTCTATTGTATGGCCAGAGTCTGTAGTATACTCTGTTCTAATTATTATCTCCTCCAGTTTTCCATAACGGAGTAGTTGGAATTTGTCCTCATTGAACATCATATTGTTTACCGTTGCCCACTGGAAAACTTTGTTTATATATTCTTGGAGGTTAACCGCGTCCTCAGCAGATGACAGCCTCATGCAGATCCTAGTATCATCCGCAAAGGATGATACGGTGCTGTGATGTATATCTCTGTTTATGTCTGATATGAGAATAAGGAATAAGATGGGGGCGAGTACTGTGCCTTGTGGAACAGAGCTCTTCACTATGGCAGCCTCCGATTTAACTGTGTTGACCTTACTCTC